CCACGGTGCCCGGGCTCCGCCGCACGGCGGGGCCCGATTCGCGCGTTCCGGGCACGTTCCAGGGCGCGCGGGGCATGAAGCCTGCGGCGCGGGAGGCGCGGCTGCCTCCGCGCTCACCGGGGCTGCGCTGGGCGCTGCCGCTGTTGCTGCTGGTGTTGCGCCGGGGCCAGGTAAGCCGCCCGGTGGGCCCGGGCGTGGGGTGGTAGGAGCGTGGGGGCGGGACAGGCATCTCCTGCACCTGCCGAGTATATCCCGCCTGGGGGTTCGGGGAAGGTGGCGAGGGGTCCGAAACCTCGGAGCCGCCTCCTGGAGGGGGATTACGTGGACCCCCGCCGGCCTCCGACGACGGTGAACGAGCCCCTTCCCCGGCTGCCCAGTACCAGGGAGGGCGGCGGGATCCGGAGCCCTGAGGTGCCCCTAACCTCCCCACGGAAGCCCCTGCGAGGGCTCCAGGCCGTCTCTGGCCCAGCTCTTCCCGGAGCTGGTCACATCTGGCCAGCGCGGGCCCGGCTCACTGCCAGAGGCGGCCGAAGGGGGCGTGTTTGCGGAGGGCTCGGGACGCCGAGCGAGGCGGCCTGGCCAAGCCGCGGCCAACCTCCGACCCGGCCTGCAGGGGCTCGAGGGGCCGGGCCGAAGGGCAGCGAGGCGGCGGCCCGGGGGCTCCAGGGCAGGGCTGGGCGCTGGGCGAGGCGCGGGACCTCCGGGCCGAGGGCGCTGCTTCTGGGGAAAGCTCCCAGCCCCGGCAAAAGGCCACTGGCAGGCGTTTCCCAAGGCAGCCGTCATCTTCCCGGAGAAGGTGCTGGCTTTCATGGGTGTTTAATCCCTGCTTTGTGGTTGCCGGAGTCCCCCTCCCACCGCCCTTTTTCCTTGCTTTACTTTTGCGATAATGCTGTGCCTGGCGTTTTGGTGACGGACCTTTTCTCTTCCTGGCATTTCCATGGGGGTGAGGCAGGGCAGTTGGGGGGCATTACAATTTTACAGATAGGGAACTGAGGGAGAGAAGTGAAAGAGGGGAATCGCCCAGCCCGAGCCCTGGGAGCTGAGCAAGTGGATTCCTCCTCGCAGTCTTCTGTGAGCCTGTGAGGGTCTTGAGCCCGCAGCGGAAAGTGGCCTGATGATGACCTGTGCATTTTTCTAATGAACATCTTGCTTGTTTTACACAGATCCTAGATCTAAGGAAGTGAGTTATTGAGTGGGGATGGAAACTGGTTTCAGGAAAAACTTCTCAAGCACAAATACAGGATTGTCTAAGAGCAGAAACATCACCCTGGGGCAGCAATGCAGTCCAGCAGGCAGGAGGAAAAGGGACCTAGGCCTGGGGGCTGTGCAACCCTCAGCACAGAGAGGGTCACTAGGTGCTACCACCCAGTGCAGGTTCCTCCCCCAGTGCAGGTTCCTCGGAGGGTTTTGACTAGGCTCTCCAGAGGACAGGAAGGCAGGGTGACCTCCTGCAGAGGGTCCTTCCTGTACACATCAGGAGACTAGCTCCAGCACCAAGTATCAGGGCTGGACTTGCTTTTTAGTTTCCTCCATCCTCAGTTAATGGCATCCATAGAATGGGTGTAATACCCCTACCAATGAATGGAATTGAGTTTTCACTGGCAAATATCTCCAATAGTTTTGTAGACATTAAGGGATTTCCATATGGGATTATCGTTAAGGTACAGTATGGATGGGTGGACTTTTTCGTGTCCCTGTAAGGAAATTCATGGAGAGCAGTCTCTGAAATTAAAAAAAAAAAAGCCTCATATTTGAAGATCTTTTGTACCAAAGTTTATACTAAAAAGACCCTTGATCTTCATTTATTTTTGGTTTAATTTGATGCATAATTGCAATAGAACCACCATAGTCAAGTCAACCACCTGCCTACACTAACCACCTCCTTAGGTTGACTTAATTTTCATAGATGGAACATGCACCACATGTCCGTATGAGGCCTAGTTCCTAGGCATGTTGAGCAGTTTGTTACAGTCCCTTGTGTGGTCAACTTATGGAGGTTCTACTTTATTTATTTTTTTGCTTCAACCTTGATGGTTGTTGCTAGCTGTGCTTAGAATCAGCAGAAAGTTTCATGGGTAAATTTATTTCTTGCCCAATCCCTCCTTGTATTTCACTAGCATATTGCCACTCTGTAGTTGTCCTGTGTTCAGATATTTCCTTCCTCTATAGTTCTTCTGTAGAAGCTCAAGAGGAGTTCTTTTTATTTCTAATTTTTGGGTACATCATAAAATAGAAAATAAAAAAGGTGCTCAGAAGAAACACCTTCAAAATCCGCATCCAGTAGTTCGTTTTGATATTGGATATTGTAGGGAATCAACGTGTTTTTGAGTTGAATCAGACTTTCAAGATAGCTCAGACCCTTTAAGCCTTAGACAAACATAGTAAGGGAGGACAGTGAGCAGGCCAAGGTCATCTGGCAAGGTAGTAGAGAAGCCAGGACTAGAACCTGGGTTGCCTGCCTGCCTGGGCCAAATGTTTTCATAGTGCTTTTTTTTTGGCCATATTTTCATTTTGATATAACTTTTTTTTTTTTTTTT